ATGATTTTCATAGCAGTGTTTTTCTTTATTACCATCAAAGAACGACGTCCTGTTTTGAAAAAACAATGACAAACGAGCGTTTAACTCCTGAGATCCAGGCTATTCTTTCCACTCACTTACGACAATGCTCAAAAATTGCGGAATCCACACTATTCCTACTTAAAAAAATTAAAACTGATGACACTTCCGGCTGTTTCGACAGCAACAGCGAAACGAAGAAAGAAAACCGAAATCGACCGATCGAAGTTAACATTCAAAAACTGATGAAACAAATATGCCAAGAAATAATTAACGTCGAACAGCTAGAATTGCGTATGACTATCGTCGCACCGATGAAAGCTGGAAAATCTACGATCATCAATGCTATAATCGGCGAATCTATACTTCCCGAACGTGACGATGCAATGACAACATTGCCCACGGAGGTTATTTTCAAGCGTGACATCACTGAACCCAGTTTGCTACTACCTGATCTATGTCTACATACATTAACAACTATACAACGGGAGATACAGCAGTTTCTCAAAACGAATGCTTCCATGAGTGATGAGGAACTGTACAAAATACTCGGTAACAATCAGCATGCTGTTAATGCTGCTCGTTCCATAGACAAAGAAACGTGTCCAAAATTATTCCCTCAAATACATGGAAGAAAAGACATTGAACAGACACTAAGGTTCATAAATGACTTAATTCGTCTTCATATCTATTTATTACAAAGTAAGAAAATGAAACAGGACTCATTGACAGTAAGTCTCGAAAATTTTCGTAAAAGTATTCCACGTCTAGAAGTTTTACATCTGCCGATGAGTAACCAAAGAAATGATAATGAATCTCTCGGCACACTAGTAATAGTAGATAATCCTGGTCCAAATGAATCACGAGCATCGCTCGAACTCAATGAAATTGTGACCAATGAGCTAAGTAAAGCAACGCTTATTCTAGTTGTTATTAACTACACGCAAATGAATACAGAAGCCGCTGAAAAAATACGAGAACAGATAAACGATGTTCGAGATAGAAAAGGTGATAAAGATTGTCTTTACGCCCTAATTAACAAGGTTGATCAACGGCGTACAGACACCGTGAATAAAAAAGACTTACAACGTTCAATAGAAGCTACATACGATATTCATAGCGATAAAAGAATATTTGAAGTTAAAGCAGTTCATGCGCTAGCATCAAGAAAATTTGCAAGAGAATATGCGCAACTACACGACGAGAATAGACAAGTTAGAGTTGAAGATATGCTCACAGCAGAAGACTTCGCTCGAGAAGTCTATGGGGGGCTATTTGACGATAGAATTGAACAAGGACTTAATCTAGAAGAACTTCTTACAGGTGCTCCAAAATTGTGGAAATCTTCGGGTTTTGAAGAATTTTTGAGAAATGCTTTCGAAGACCTAGTCAAAATAGCCAGTACAAAATGTATCAGATCAGCAGTGGGTCTATGTGAAGTGGCTTATGCGGAATTAAAAGGTTATATAACATTACGTCTAAAAGCATTGAAAGTAGACGCGGAAAATCTTCGTCAAGAAATCGTTGATCTAGAAAACGATTTGCATGAATTGTCCGCGGTGAAAGGGACACAAAACGAAGTGTTAAAAAAGGCCAAAACTACTCTAAATAATGTGGTTGAATTGGTTCTTACCGATTGTAAACGCGAGACACAAAAAAGTTTTGATACAGAGAATCCTGTTTGGCTTTCACCAGACAAATGGGCTGAATATATAAAACAAAAGCGCTCAGAATCAATAACAGCTGCAAGTACGCTCAATAGTGTGGCTACGACTGTTAGACTCGGTGCTACTGCCTTAGCAATGGCGAGTGTAATATCTGAAAACTTAAGTCTATTTTTTTCAAGTTTTGCCGTAGCATGCGTAGCAGCAAAAGTTTCTGTTGAAGCATCTGAAAAGGTGAAGACAATAGAAAATAATGATGACGAAATATGTTTTCATAACATTGATGCGGCCAATGAATTTATTGAAGCCGTAAAAGTCATGGTTTACGAACTTTGTAAATCTATGGTAGTTACCGTAGGTACGAAAGTGAATAAAGAGGCGAAAAACGTGAATGACAATCTTTGCGATTTTCTTCGCAAATGTACCTCTGGTATTTTTACCCGTGCAAATAAGCGTTTAAACGCCCGGTTTGAAATTCAGACAGCAGCATTCAAACAATTTGATATGAATGTCGAAGAATCAAAACAAGAATTTGTTGTTCCGAAATCGAAGTATCGATCGTGGACATCATTGTGGTTACTCGAATTAGAATCTGACGAAATAATTCCAAATGCAAATCAGTCTGTTTCGCGCAAAAAGTTGAAAGCCCAGTGCGAAGAACTGATTAAAAGAAATATACATAATATAGAAACACAAATCAAACAAAATTTTAGTACCGATTTAACTAAAACATTTGAAGATCACTTTGAAAAATTAGAAGCCTATTTTCAAATGTACCAGAGTAGTATAAATGCTTCGTTACACGATAAAACATTAAATAAGGAAGAAATGATTGTGTTCAAAGAGAAACTGGAAAATCTACTGGTCGAGCTTGAAAATGGACAGAATGATTTAAGACAGACATTTCTGCCTAACGATGTAACTTGTTAATCGGGTTCTAACCTTGCACTTTCGATAGGACTGTGGCTGCTTACACATTCTACGTTTTTATAAATTCGTTTTTAAAAATGAAGTCGAAAAAAGTGTGTGACTCGTACACATAAATACCGAGTATTTCATCTAGAAATGTTCGTAGGAGATTAAATAATACGGAACGAAAAAACGAGACAGTACAACATTTCTTTTTGGACTGTCAAAATAATCAGCGATGCAGAACAGCTTTTAAAAACGACTTGAATGCTCTGGTAAACGCTCCTCTTTCTCTAGAACACATACTTTTTCAAAAACCTGTACCTTCCTTAAATGAAACAGATGAATGAGTTATATAAGATTGTAATAAGTTTTATTAGAGACACACAAAGATTTTAAATTTGAATTTCTCCGCTAGTTCATTTCTTCTTTGTTATTATTACCACTCTTTTCTCCTTTCTCTCTCTCTTTACTTCTTTAGTTGTCTTTCCTTTGCCTTTTTTTTTTTTTTTTGTGGTTGTGTATGGTTCTTCTCATGTACTCTCGTCCTGTCTTTTGTGCTCAGTCAATATGTAATAGGTTCGCCTCCTTCTTTTCATTATTTGTACTGAAGTTTTCCACACTTCCTTCTCTCAAATAAAAGTTTCTAACAATGACTATTGCCACCTCCGGAGGTGTCATCAGGGAGCTATTGCCATTTTCAGAAGGTGTCAACTAAATCTATTGTCACCCTCTAAGTGTGTGAAATAGAGCTATTGCCATCTCCACGCATAGTACTATGTTAGAAAGTGTCAGTTTGCGTGACACGACTCTTACGCGGATTTTTCATAATATAAATTTGAGTATTTCTGTTAATTTCTGATGGGTGTTGGGAGAGGAATGGTGAGAGCAGTGTGAGAGTGAGTTCGAAAAGTTGTTTCACACAAAAGATTTTGCATTACATAGCGTGAATTTGCTTTAGCTTTCCAACTACTTATGCATTATGTAATTAGTTCAAGATGAAGCTCTACTTGACACCTCCGAAGATGACAATAGCCGTTATTGACACCTTCTGAAGGTGGCAATAGCGCTACCCTAAATATAAATATCTATATGAACAATACACAATTTAGC